GGGAGATCGATAGGGTTTGTATTATACACTGAGTACCTCCAGTCAAGTTAGTATAAATAATAAATCCTTCAGTAGTATCCTTCATCCCACTAGCTAGGAGCAATTCCTGGATAGAACACTGGACTGGGAAAAGATAGAGAATCACGCTACTGAAACCTGTGTAAGACGGTTGGATATCAAAGTATTTGCAGTAACCTGTAGCTCAGCTCATACACGCTAACTTGCCAGTAGTTGTTAAGAAGAAAGGGACAAGGAGTCAAAAGTCAGTGTTACCACTAACATCTTTATTGCTCTGGAATGCCCACCTATATAACTAAAAAGGAAAAAAATATATAAATATTAGGTAGAAAAGAGGTATACAGATTTTTACATACAGAAAAATAATAGTTCTATCAGAAATTTAAAGCAGTTTTTTCTAATCCTGTGAAGAATCTCAGTGGTAGCTTGATGGAGAGCCCGTATAGCCAAGACAATCCTAAGCAAAAAGAACAAAGCTAGAGCATCATGTTACCTGACTTCAAACTATACAACAAGGCTACAGTAACCAAAACAGCATGATACTGGTACCAAAACAGATATATAGACCAATGGAACAGAACAGTGGCCTCAGAAATAATGCCACACATCTACAACCATCTGATCTTTGGCAAACCTGACAGAAACAAACAATAGGGAAAGGATTCCTATTTAATAAATGGTGTTGGGAAAACTGGCTAGCCATATGCAGAAAACTGAAACTGGGCCCCTTCCTTACACCTTATACAAAAATTAACTCAAGATAGATTAAAGACTTAAATGTAAGACCTAAAACAATAAATCCTAGAAGAAAACCTAGGCAATACCATTAAGGACAAAGGCATGGGCAAAGACTTCATGACTAAAACACCAAAAGCAATGGCAACAAAAGCCAAAATTGACAAATGGGGTCTAATTAAACTAAAGTGCTTCTGCACAGCAAAAGAAACCATCATCAGAGTGAACAGGCAAACTACAGAATGGGAGAAATATTTTGCAATCCATCCATCTGGCAAAGGGCTAATATCCAGAACCTACAAAGAACTTCAACAAATTTATAAGAAAAAAAAGCCCCATCAAATAGTGGGCAAAGGATATAAACAGACACTTCCCAAAAGAAGACATTTATGTGGCCAAGAAACATATGAATAAAGCTCATCATCACGGGTCATTAGAGAAATACAAATCAAAACCACAATGAGATACTATCTCATGCCAGTCAGAATGGTGATCATTAAAAAGTCAGGAAACAACAGATGCTGGAGAGAATGTGGAGAAATAGGAATGATTTTACACCATTGTTGGGAGTGTAAAATAGTTCAACCACTGTGGAAGACAATGTGGCAATTCCTCAAGGATCTAGAACCAGAAATACCATTTGACACAGCAATTCCATTACTGGATATATACCCAAAGAATTATAAATAATTCTACTATAAAGACACATGCACATGTATGTTTATTGCAGCACTGTTCACAGTAGAAAAGACTTGGATCCAACCCAAATGCCCATCAATGATAGAGTAGACAAAGAAAATGTGGCACAAATACACCATGGAATACTATGCAGCCATAAAAAATAATGCATTAATGTCCTTTGCAGGGACATAGATGAAGCTGAAAACCATCATTCTCAGCAAACTAACACAGGAACAGAGCACCAAACACTACATGTTTTCACTCATAAGGGGGAGTTGAACCATGAGAATACATGGACACAGGGAAGGAAACATCACACACCAGGGCCTGTCAGGTGGTAGGAGCCTAGGGGAGGGATAGCATTAGGAGAAATACCTAATGTAGATGATGGGTTGATGGGTGCAGAAAACCACCATGGCACGTGTATACATGTGTAACATGCACGTTCTGCACATGTATCTCAGAGCTTAAAGTATAATAAAAAAATTTTAAAAGAAAAATGACAGTTATTTCTAGCAATTTGCTTGTACATTCAATCAGAATAAACATTATTGGAAATAAGAACTCATAAAGGGTGATTATAAAATAGCTTTGCGAAGGTCAACCAGAAGATGTAATACATTCAAAGATATAATGTGATGATGGAATAATTCAAAAAATGTATATGCATCAAAATAAATGTAAATGGACTGCATTCCCCCATTTTAGAGACAAGAGTCTTACATTTTTATTAGTCTGTCTTCACACTGCTAAAACACTGAAGAGGCCTCAGGAAACTTACAATCATGGCAGAAAGGGAAGGGGAAGTAAACATATGATTCTTCACATAATGATAGGAGAGAGAAGCGCAGAGAGAAGGGGGAAAAATCCTACAAAAACATCAGATTTTGTGAGAATCCCTTACTATCACAAGAATAGCAAGGGGGAAACATCCTCCAGGATCTAATAATCTTCTATGAGGTCTCTCTCCTGACATGTGGAGATTAAAATTCAGATTATATTTCAAGATGGGATTTGGGCCGGGCACAAAGCCAGACCGTATATCGCTGTGTAGAGAAAATATCTATTTATAGGAGAAAGACTGACAGCAAAAACATGTAGAGGATGTAAAAATAAACAGATGAACAGCATCAACAGGCAAATGATAACAAAAGGAAGAATCAGTGATAAGGAATCCTGTTAAAGTTAACAGAAAGCTGCTTTATGTTTATTTTGAAAATATAATACATCAAAAGTATAAGGCAAATATCAAACTTTATATAACTAACAACATAGCAGAGAAATATGTAAAACTAAAAATATTAGAGTAAGAGATGTTTTCACACATTTAAAAATAAAATAAAACATCTTAATACACATCACGAAAAAGTTTACATGCCAATGAGATAAAATATAACTGACAATCTTGACATTTTAAATATCATAATTAGCAAGTTTGACTTTTATGAAAGTGTGTGTGTGTGCACTTAGACATCAAACTACCTCCAAAATAGAGTTCTTTGTAAACCCCAGTGGAACAGTAATCAAATTTTATTTGAATCAGGAAACAGGAAAAACACCAATCAAATCCTCAAAGTAGAAAATACATCTGCACTTTCTACCTCCAAATAATTCAATTAGAAATTAACAGCAATAAGCTAAATAAAATAATTTTGTTATTAAAAATTCTAAAAAATATTATAAATGTTAAAGAAAAAAAATAAAAAAATCATAGCCCATGGCTAACAAAACACTACATATAAAATTTTATAGTATTCTGAGTTATAAAATATATATGTAGCCAGAGTTAGCAAAATGTATAGCATTAAATATATTGATTTAAAAACAAGATTTAAAACATGAACTAAAATTGCAACTGGCAAAGCTAGAAGGAAAAACATTTGACTAAATTTTAAAAGTACAGAAAGGATTTTTAAAGATAAATATAAATAGTGATGAAGTAGATTATAAATCTAAAAGAGCCACTAGGGTTTGATTAATACATCCGGTTCTTTCTAAGAAAAGACCAATAATACAGAGTAAATTCAAAGAAGTCTGACAAAGAATAAATTACAAATAAATAAATATAATACTTTATACAAACCTACTGAGAGATTAAAAAAATTTTTAATCCTATATGCAAATTTATGCAGATAAATTGGAAATACTAAATGAATCTGTACTTTTCATCAAAAATATATTCTATACAAATGAAAGACAGTTAAATGTAAACTTGAAAATTATTTTCTTAAATAGTAAAAAAAAAATCTATTTCCTGAAAACATCAGATTTAGAAAGTTTTGAGGACAAATCTAATAAATTTTTAAAAAAGAAATGAATCCTGGAGAATTTAAAAGACTCAAAAATAGAAAAACTAAAAAGTTCTCAAATTAATTTCAAGAATTCACCATAATTTTAGCTTGAGAACTAGAAAAGAATAATGTCCATGTACATAGAGAGAGGAAAAAGACTCTCATAGAGATACAAAGTTATGACTATGATCAAAGAAACTAGTAAAAGTGTACATTCTAAACATAGCAGTATATTAAAACATCATGCCCAAATAGATTTTATTCTAAGAATGCAAGATTAATTCAAAATTAAAACTCAATTTATTAAACTTAAAGGGGTAAAATTTGATGAATTCTATAAGCAACTATAAAATATAATAAGATTCCAAACCCATTCAATATTAAAATTCAGAGCTATCAATGGAAGGAGTTTTCTCAAGTTTCATAAAGTCTAATTATTAGAAGCCACCAACAAAGATAATAAATGATAAGTGCCACAAGTGTTCCTACTTAAGGACAGGAAATACATCAGCATCACTTATTTAACCTTGGTTTGGAGGTCCCAGCCAAGGCCACAAAAATTTTGAAAAGTCATGGTTTTAAGAAAGAAGAAATCTCAAGGGGCAAAATAGGTAAGAACCCAGTTTTGCTAAAATCTAAATGCAAAAATGGAGAATGAAGGCATAAAAGCCAAAACATTTACAGTGTGTTTTGGCAAAACTATGTTTTTTTCTGGGCAGCATGATTATAAAACATTTCTTGTTCCCTTGTTTGTAATTTTCTATTTTTCTAAATGTTCTACATTGGTAATGTGTGATTTTTACAGTCAGAATCAAGTTACTAACATAATTAAGTAATACACCTCAGAGTAGCACTGCTAATCATTATTTCCAAAATTTTTTTATTTAAGTAATCATTGAGAACAGTCTATTGAAAGTAATAACTTTAATTTTTGTTAATTTTAGTAAATAGAGTAATTTCTAAAAATAATGAATTAGGAATTTTTAAAAAGTAAAAATATTCTTTCAAAATAATGAACATTTGACTTCTTATCAAGAAGCTTTATGTGACAGGAAAGTAAATTTTTCTCAAAGGTGAGAAGGCTTTAAAGTAAACCTATATTGATTTTCAGAGCCTAATTTGACATTCAAATGCTATACTTTTCATATTTTACTGTACTATTAAGTTTCATAATTTAAGTGGTTACTTGCTACTTTATTTTCATTTTTAAGGTATGATGAAAACATAAGTATTCATTTATGAATCTAAATATCCTATTCATAAAGGCACACTTACACTGGGAGCTCAAACCTTTCTCACTCTTCAAGAAGTTAAACACTGGGATTATAGCTTGGCCTTTTCCAGTGGAGCTCACCATAGTTTCTTCATTTTCTAGGACCTGCAGCTTGATGAACGTATCCAGTTTGGATGTGCGTACCTGTATTGTAGCAGGTTGTGGTGTTACAACTTTAACAGAATATCTGTAAAGAAAAAAAGTTAAGATTATAAGCAACTATGTTGATCCTTCTCTCAATTCAGTAAGCAAGATAGTTTGGATATGTGTCCCTGACCAAATCTCCTGTCAAATTGTGATCCTCACTGTTGGAGGTGGGGCCTGGTGGGAGGTAACTGGATCTTGGAGACAGGTTTCTCACAAATGGTTTAGCACCACCTACTTGATGCTGTTCACATGACAGTGAGTGAGTTATCATGAGATCTGGTTGTTTAAACATGTGTACCTCCCTCTCCCTTTCTCTCTCTCTTACTCCTGCTCTGGCCATGTGATATGCCTGCTCACCCTTCCCCTTTTTCCATGATTGGAAGCTTCCTGAGGCCTCCCTAGAAGCTGAGCAGATGCCAGCATCATGCTTTCTGTACAGCCGCAGAATTGTGAGTAAATTAACCCTCTTTTCTTCAGAAATTACCCAGTCTCAGGTACTTCTTTATAGCAATGCAAGAACAGACTAATGCAGTAAGGAAAATAGTCTAATTTTCTGATATGATAAGTTATAAGTAAAACTACTTTGTAAAGTCCACTAACATCCTGAAAATTCTGGAGTTATTATAGACCTTGGCAAAGGATCCCAGTATAGTAACTGCAAAACAAAAGGAATATAGAACTTTTATCATCATCAAATCCCAGATTAAAAAAATGTAACTTTTGTTTAGATGTAGTAAGCAGTCACTTATAAAACTTGATAGGCCTACAAAGGATGTGAACAGACACTTCTCAAAAAATGTCACACATGTGGCAAAAAAACACACAAAAAATAGCTCAACATCACTGATCACTAGAGAAATGCAAATCAAAACTGCAATAAGATACCATCTCACACAGTCAGTATGGAGATTATTAAAAAGTCAGGAAACAATAGATGCTGGCGAGGTTGCAGAGAAGTGGAAACTCTTTTACACTGTTGGTGGGGATGTCAATTAGTTCAATCATTGTGGAAGGCAGTGTGGTGACTCCTCAAAGATTTAGAACTAGTAATACCATTTGACCCAGCAATCCCATTACATATATACCCCATTTTATACCCAAAGGAATATAAATCATTCTATTATAAAGATACATGCACACATATGTTCATTGCAGCACCATTCACAATAGCAAAGGCATGGAATCAGCTCAAATGCCCATCAATGATAGACTGGATAAAGAAAATGTGGTACATATGCACCATGGAATACTATGCAGCCATAAAAAGGAATGAGATTATGTTCCCTGCAGGGATATGGGTGGAACTGGAAGCCATTATCTTCAGCAAACTAACACAGGAACAGAAAACCAAACACTGCTTGTTCTCACTTTTAAGTGGGAGCTGAACAATGAGAACATGTGGACACAGGGAGGGAAAAACATTTACTAGGGCCTGTTGGGGGAGGATGCAGGTGGCAGAGCATTAGGGAAAAGAGCTAATGCATGCTGGGCTTAATACCTAGGTGATGGGTTGATAGGTTCAGCAATCCACCATGGCACATGTTTACCTATGTAACAAACCTGCACATCTTGCACATGTACACCAGAACTTAATAAAAATAAATAAACAAATATAAAACTTGATAGCCCTAAAACCCACCAATAGATCTTTAAAAAAAAAAACCTCTTAATAGATCTGCAAACCACTGCCACATCAACCCTCTCTGTTACACAAAAATCACTACACTGATAATAGCATTTTCTGTGATTCACAAAAATACAGAGAAATTAAAGTAGTACCCATAGCCTTCACCTTCACCTCTCACCAATAGTTTGGAAATCTCTTGCAAAAAGACGGGAAACATGCAGTCTAATTCATCATTTCCAACTCCTCCTTTAATGCAATTAAAGAGTTGGCTTTTTGCTCTTATTTTAGGTGATTCCTCACAAATGCTCAGGACTCTATCAACTTTTAATTTCTCTAGAAATTTGCTTTTCTGAGTATCATGTCTCTCATATATATATAACAATGCTAAAAGAAAACACTTGTTTTTCTCTCTATATATGGAAAAGGTCACCCAGGCTGGAGTGCAGTGGTACAATCATGGCTCATTTCACCTCAAACTCCTGGGCTCCAGTGATCTTCCCGCCTCAGACCCCAATGGAGCTGGGACTACAGGTATGCACCACCATACTTAGCTTAGTTTTTATTTTTTGTAGAGACAGAACTTCACTATGTTACCCAGGCTGTTCTTGAACTCCTGGGCTCAAGCAATCAAGTATGCCAAATTGCAGGGTCTTTATTGCCTGTGGCCATGGAGGACTCACCTCTCTCCAACCCGTGGCCCCAAGCTCAGGGGGAGCAGGGTTTTTAAGCTGAAAAACCACATCCTGGTTTTAGGACCAAGAGGGTGAGAGGATGCAGGGCAAGCAACTTTACAGAAGCTATTTCTGGCAGCTTCTGATAAGCAAAGGCAAGCAGCTTTACACAGTGGGCTTCCTGGAATTTGGGGAAATTCTAAGTGGTCCCTGCCACTTAGAATTGGAGAGTTGCAAGTCAAACATTACAATAGAAAACTTTTTCTTCTCTTTCTTTTCAATCAGCATTTTTCAGAGCAAGCCAGCTGTTTTTATTTACAGAAGCCAAGGTCAGCAGTTATCGCAAGGAAAACGGGGCAGCAAGCAGTTATCACAAAGGAAATGGGGCAGCAGTTACAACTTATTTTTGGAAAAAACGTTTTTCTTGGTGCTTGCAGCGTACAGGGTTTAAGATGGTGTTGTTTAGGTTCTAACTCCGGGTTAACTATGGCACAGTTAAATGTCACCTTTTAGTCTATTAGTGACCCTGGCATGTGATACAATGGTTTTCTATCACAGTAGTTAAACTATTTTATCACAATTTCTATTTTTAGTTATTGGTTTGTTTTTTTTTCCTTCTTGGGAATGCACATATTTTCCAAATTTTCTGTGCAGAGAAATGTACATTAAAAAGAGAAGATAAGTATTCTAACAACTTGTAGAAAACACATTGTTAATAGAGGCCAATTATGTATTAGCCACTGTGTTAGGTCCTGTATTGAAAATAAATGATTCTTGCCTTCAACCAATGTTAATTCTCATAATGGCTAACATGCAATGCACCAGATAGAATTTGATATGTCACAGTCGCAGAGAGAACAAAGGACTATAGGAACATAACCAGAGCCAAGTAATTATATTTGAAGGTTTAAGCACAAAAAATTTTACTATTGAAAATTATTATTAAAAGTGATGGATTTTTTGAAGTGGAGAGGTGGGGACAGGACACATGAGAAAAGAGGAAGACATGAGCAAAATAAAACTGCTGGGCATATATGTCAGGAGGTGGTTGTCAGTTCCATCAGGAGCATGCACTGTGTGAGGCTAAATAGCATGCTATGTGGTTCAGAGTTTATCTGCAGCCAGTGGAAAGTTACCAAAGGTTTTAAAGCAGGAAAACCACATATTTAAATACGTGTGCTTGAAAGGCATTTACCCTGGTTGTAAAGGATGAGTATGAAAATGGATATGGAGAGAGAGAAAAAACTGATAAAGTGCAGAAAAGGGAATTAAATAGAGCCATGGATTCCAGAAACGCAATTCTATAGACTGAAGATAATGAGGGCTGGAAGCAGTGCAGCGACACTGAAGACAGATTAATGAAAGAGTGGAATCTGTGATTAGGCTATTTAAGCAGAACACTGCATATAGATGAGCATGAAAATAAGGCTGAGTTGATTGATAAAGAAACTCCTACAAAATACTAGCCAGAGATGGAGCAGCAGAAGAAGAAAGTAGTAAGAGGAAGCCATGTCATGATGAATCTTTAATCAAAGTCGAGTAGGATGAAAACCAAGGAAATGTCATCACCATTATATGCAGCCACACAGGCTTAATCTTATATAACACACACATAATCACATTACACTCAATTAATTGTTTCTAAAAAGAATACAGAAATTGAAATCAAAACTGAGTCGGCATTTTACTGCAGAATTTATTTTGATCCTAAAATATTAACCTTTTTAAACAAATGCATTTCCCCTCTGTCATATACTTGTACCTGAATAAAATGTTCTTATCATTGGGTATGTAGTAATCTCGGATTTCCTTTATGGCAAAGGCACTGCATGGAGGGTCTCGAGAGAGACACGGCAGTGGAGCATAAGAACCAATGAGGCGCAGTTTCCATCGTGAGCCTGGTACGAATGTGTCACCTGTAAATGCTTCTGCCACAAAAGTGTATCCCTTCTATAAGAAAGATAAATTACACAGAAATGAGTTACGTTGTTATTCTCCCAAATGTACTATATCTCATAGTACTCAAGGTCTTATTATGATATACTTATAGGTCCCAAGATCTATTAATAAACATAGAATGACTAGGATTATGCTTGGAATTTCTCTTAGAAAGCACTATCCTACCAAGTTTTCAGGAAAACAACAGATTCTGATATTTTCCTTTCTGTGGTTCCTTAACTATACAATAAAGCGCTTAACTACAGTAGATGATTACTATGTCCTTTCTAGTTCTTCTAATGCCTCCCACTGCAAATTTTTATCACTGCACCATCCCAGGGTAGCCCAATAATTTCTTACTTGATTTTCCTGTCTCCCAGATCCAACTTTCTGGAATACTGAAGTAAGAAAAGCAGACGAGTTCAAAGAAATGTATTCTGTTGACATGACAGGTAAAGCTATAAAATTAATAGCTGATTTGATCCCACAGAACCCAGATTTGTGATTTAAAATGAGCTCTTTAGGTTGCAGAAAAGCGGAAGCTCAAGAGCCTGGGAATGGCATACTTTACGGTGGGCAACAGCTTGGTTTAACATAATTGGATATCTGGCTAAGAAGTCAGTGAATCAAAAGCATGATATCATAATAGATGCAAATATTCAAAGTAATTCTGAGATTGTATTTCCAGATGTCCCAATAAAGAATAAAAAATAGGTTTGTCTTTCAGCTGTACTCTGTCACAGAAAGCTCTCTGGTATGTTTAGATTTCCAGAAGTAAAAATTAGATATATATATAAGCCAGAATGAATTTTTTAAAGGTCACATAGACATCTAGAAGTATTAGCTGGAATTCCAATCCCCATAATGAGATGAATTGCAACGTCAACAAGGACTTTTTGATATTTTGTTTGGGGCAAGTAAAAAAAAAAAGTACAATAAAGCATTTTTACTTGCAAAGTATAATGCACATATGCATTGATATTTTTATTATTATTATTTGAGTCTTAATTATAGTACTAATGAATTAAAAACGCAAAGCAAAATTCTTTTGTTTTTACTTAGATTCAGAATAATTTTAAAAGGAAAAGGTTATTAAATGGTGAGATAGATATTAAATGTGAAAATCTAAAGCTAAATCAGTGATAGGATTATAAGACAGAAATTGGCGATCCTAAATGGATTCAGTAGTAAGAGTTATATCATTGAATACTGAGTATTGAGGGATCCCATAGGCTAGTATTCTGAATTACACTGTATGGCCTTGAGTACTTATGAAAATATAGAGAAAACAATTCTGATTTTTCAAACTTAAGAAGAATATGTGCTCTGCAAAACAAAGACTAGTAAGTTTAATAATGGTGCTTATCAAGGTTCTGCCGTAGCTCATTAAAAGGATGTCTCATGAGAACCTCAAAGAAAAAAACCTGTTCCTAAAGCCAGCATGGGCTTATTGGGAACAAAAACTTATTTACTTTTTTCATAAGATTAGAAGACACAAAATCAGGTAAAAGTTGCAGACATGTTGTTTATTAATTTCAGGCAGGCATATGTCAAGGCTCTAGTGAATTTCACATGGGTCAGGATACCTCTTGATGAGCCTGCTAGGCAGAATTAACCACAAAATTCCCACCTAAGATTGCTAGTTATGTAACTGTTCAATAGAGTTTTAGACGTTATGTATCCAGCCAAAGATATTTTCTCTTGAGGTGACTCCTGAGTCGACCCTATCAACATGCCTCGTAGGTACCAAAAGACTGATGCAATCACAGGGTAAGAAACAATAGAGCAATGATCCTCTTTACATTTTGTGAATTACTGTTAGAGGCAGCATTCAGTTCTGGGAACCACATTTCAGCAGGGATGTAGGTTGTTTGCTTAAATGTTCAAAGATCAAGAATTATGAAGAGAGAAAAACTGTAGCACGAAAGGGACCACTGAAGCTATTTTTCTATTTTTCACTCAGCTTTACATTATCCTCTGCAGTTTCTCCACTTTTAACTTTTTTTTTTTTTTTTGTAGATGGAGTTTTGCTCTTGTCACCCATGCTGGCATGCAATGGCATGATCTCAGCTTACTGCAACTTTCACTTCCCGGGTTCAAGCGATTCTCCTGCCTCAGCCTCCTGAATAGCTGGGACTACAGACGCACACCACCATGGCTGGCTAATTTTTGTGTTATTAGCAGAGACGCTGTTTTGCCACGTTGGCCAGGCTGGTCTTGAACTCCTGACCTTGTGACTCCCCATCTCGGCCTCTCAAAGTGCTGGGATTATAGGTGTGAGCCACCATGCCCAGGCTTAACTTTTTTTCTAAACAGAGCTGGCTAGAGTGAGAGGGTAAAAGAGATAAAATATGAGACAGGAAGTATGCTTGCTGCAATCTCAATTTACAATGTAAAAATAATAGTTAATTGGAGAGAGAATGTTCTTCTTCTGCACATTGACTCAAAATGTATCACTTACAGCTATCCAAAAAATTCAAGCTTAAGCTAGAGAGGGAAGTCTACAATGGCATTTCTAAAACAAAAACCAAACCCAAGGAAGTATGCCAGATACAAGTAACAATCAGATTCGTATTTGGTTCAACCAAATAGTCTTTATAGATTCCTTCTAAAATGAAGTATTCATGACTAACATTAGTATATCTATCTAGTAATACAGAATTCACTGCTAGATTTTGATGATATCTATAACCCTGATAGAGTCTCCCTTTAAATCATCTTTCTCCTCTTAATGTTTGCGGATTTTGAATTCTAATCACAAATTAAATAAACTGTTTCTGTTCAAAAGGAAGTCTAGCTCAAACATTAAAAACAAACATTCAAAAAATAATCCACTGGCGTTTGGACAAGTTTGTTCCTGAAGAACTAGCCCTATAGTTTGATTTGACCCAAGGCATTCTGCTGCAGAAAGGTAAGGTTTGGAGGAGGGGTGTCCAATCTTTTGGCTTTCCTGGGCGGCAATGGAATAATTGTCTTGGGCCATGCATAACATACACTAACACTAATGACAGCTGGTGAGCTAAGAAAATAAAGAATGAGGAAAAAAAAACCTCACAGTGCTTTAAGAAAACTTATGAATTTGTGGTGGGCCATATTTAAAGTCATCCTGGACAGCATGCAGCCTATGGGTTGTGGGTTGGACAAGCTTGGTTTAGAGATATTTATTAGTACATGGGGAAGAATAAATATAGTTTAAAGGAAATTGTGTGGGTCAAATAAATTTGTCAATACATGTTTGATGTACAGGAATTAAATTTTATTAGGAAAATATTCTGATTTTAAGTGATATATAAATGCCCTTTCAAGGTAATTAACATGAATAATATGTAAAAATAATATATGGATGCATTGACTTTAAGTGAGTTTTTAAAAATTATGTTTAGGTGGAGAATTACAAACATAGATAATTGCACACAAATATATTTGTTTATCATATTTTCTTATAAAATGTAAATGCAAAACTTGCCAAATTTAATACAAAATAAAAGTAATTTAAGCCCATTACAATTTGATATCTTCAAATTTAATAAATTCTGACTGTAAAATCAAAAAATCTATCTTATTAAAAATTATAGAAAAAACATGCTAAGGGTTTAATGAAACATATACAACTTTTAAAACTATAATAAAATTATAAAAAAACAAAAAAACAGATTATATATGTATATAATACACACACACACACACACACACACACGTATCAATGGGGTTAAGTAATTTCGTCAAGAATTTAATTGCCCTTATTTTTAAAATGTTTCCTAAAATCTCTAACACAGCATGAAAGATCTACTAGGATTTTTATGGAGTTAATACATTCTTAAATTTAACCTTCATTCACACAAAAGCAGTATTCACAAGATAAGTATGTCCTAATTTATACAAAACAATGTATAGAATCATAGGCTGAAATGAATCTCAGAAGTCAAGTACAGATGTGACTCAAAAAGAAAAATGAAGAGGTTCAAAGACTAAAGCTGAGAATGGAAGATCAGAGCTAAAACAACCCTTTTCATATCCAGCTAGGTATACACTATCCTTTGTTGTGATTCCCTCTTAAAGGAAATGACTGAAAAGATAAATATGAGATTTAAATAAACAGAGAAGCAATGTGGTTTGAGTGAAGGTCAGAGGTCAGAGTCTATCACTCAGCCAGAGTTAGGTACCCAGGTACCTCTGGCTGCTAAAGGAGTTTATGTAGCCCTTAAAGTGCGGTGGTGATGATTGGTGGCTATGTGACCACAACTTTCTGAAACATACAGGAGTAAAATAAAAACCCAGTGGGAAACAAAGATAATCATCTGATTTGGTTTCGGGATAAGCCTAAAGGAGCTCTTCAGATTCATTTTTATTTTAAGCATTTATATGCTTTTTAAATTTCAATAATTAGAATTTATTATGCTTTCTTTTGCCATATTTTCTTTCGGGAGAAGAAAGAGGGTTAAGGGGTAAAGAATGCTTTAGCATTTACATTACGTATCTCCTACTGTTAAATACATGGGATTTCTATAGTGAAATAGCAGGGCCTTATTTGCCTGTTAAATAGATTAAAAACAACTCCGCCTTCCCTTCAGGACCCTGTACAAGCTGGTGGATTTTCATTGCCATTCTATCATATGGGAAGAATACATTTTATACCTACCTTATTCTTCGTATAAAGATAAGGCACCACTTTTTGGAACACCTTTGGCACTTGTTCCATTGTGTCATTATTAACAACGTGAAGTATACAGATTGGAAGTGTAGTGTATACTTTGGGAACCAAAATCATATCTTGAGGAACCAAAAATGTTTCTCTGTAATTAGAAAAGCATGAACTTTCCCTTGACATGAATCTTAAAGAAAGTTTGAAATTTGCATTAATGCCAAGAAATTTTTTAAAAATCAAAAGTTGCAAACAAGGCACACATATTATTTTTAAAATTACTATTAATGTGCTATTTTGTCAAATAAATGCAAACTCTGTTTTAAAAATTCCATTTTATAAGTAGTTTGTGACTTTTACCAAATATGCTATTGCTTAGAAATTAAAGGATCTTTTTTCTATACTAAAAGCATATTAATTTGTTATATTATTTTTATCATGAATGTAAAAGGTGCTCACAATTACTAAACATTCTTCATTTTTTGATGAAAACAGCATAGATAAAAATTTCTATGATATCTCATTTAAGATGCCAAGTGTGGGAGAATTTTAACTAACTTATGAAAGCAAACCAGAAGCTAATACCTTTACTACTATTACAAATAAATATTCACAAATATGAATATTGCAAGCCATTTAAAGACATTATTTGTCATTATATAATAACCTCACCTGAATACTATAAACCAAGAATTTGGTGGCTGTTCTTGATAAGTGACAGTATAATCCGCAAAAGCAATCTTGGTTTCTTCATCTTGATAGCATGGGTAAGATTCCATAGACTTGCACTTGCTTTTGAACATTAGCCTAGAAATATAAAAATAAATTATGTATCAATGGCAAAAGCCACTTTAAAAATAAGATCTATTCATAAAAAGAAATGACAAAAAATAGTATAAGATATTTATTCCAAGGCATTGTCTGCTAGACTGAGATCTTGATCAAAGGGGGTCTGTGTAGTCCCTGATACATGGTACCAAGGTAAGGAGACCCATTCTAGGTCAGTCACAAAAAATGTCTGTCTTGTGCCCAAGACTGTCTGAGGCTCTCAAAGGAGAACATGATTCATGATTGAGGAGTAAAGTTTATAGGTGGGAAACCAGAACCAAAGTTGAAGCTATACAAATAGAAAAACTAGAAGCAAGCAAACCAGCAACAAAACTGGGTGAGAGACTCTGAAGGGTCTGGAATTAAAGTAGAGAATGGAGCCTGAAATGGAGTTTAAGGTGAGAAATAAGTTTGGAAAAACAGGTTTTAAAAATCTAAGGCTATGCGCAAGTGGAGGGTGCTGGCTTTCCTCCTACATAATTTCCTGATGTATAAGACAGTAGAGAATACGCTGCTAAAATAATTATGGAGCTGAGATTTCCCCATGCTTTCCCCCTGGATGTCTGTGATATATTCCAGAACATAATGGGAGTGATGATGTGACAGATCTTCCGGGTCTTATCACTTCCATTTTGCCAGAAACTGGGTCTGCCCTTAGTAGCACCAGTAATATAAGACCATTTACAGGATGTCTCAGGTAATAGCTGGGATGGAAGCCATTATGGTCATAGCAACTGGTTCTCTTTTAGAGGTCTAGATAGAGCTAGATGTGTTCTTGTCTTCCGGAAGGCAGATGTTTTTATTGATTGTCACATGTTCTATTTCATTATTGATTTCTGTTAGGTTTTTGTTGATCGTAAATTTTTGGTAGGAGGAAATTAACAGGATATTTGGAAGAGGTTTAAAAAGTCTTTTAAAAATGGTGGCAAGGACAGAGAATAGGGTGACCATATATCCTGGTTTGCCTGGGATAGTTGTGGTTTATACTGACAGTATTGGCCTAATTATTAACAGTTCTCCATCTTTTCTTGTCAGTGTCCCAGTTTGGATGATTAATGACATGGTAATTTTAACTAGGAGCTATGCAGCACAGGTCTGTCAATGCAAGGCACCCCTGTAAATTACACAGGGCTGGCCTAATCTACACAAGGATGTGGGCTCAACCAACATGGGAATTAAGCTGGTCGCAGTGGGAATTCACTGTAAAAGGACCCACTACCATTCTAAAATGAGGGTGAGATTTCTATTCTTCCCAGACTATCACTGTTCCCTTATACATTCTACCCTTTTTCATATACCTCAGGAAGTCCTAATGAACGTAGGGCCATCAAAATCCTGATGAACTATGTCGAATACTTTGAATGACCCAGAGTGAGATACCTGACTGAGTTGGAAGATTTAGTCTTAATAAAGAATTAGTTTCAATCTAGTCAGATTTTTGTTTGATATGATTTCCTCATAGGGGAGCTCATTTTTAGACATCATTTGCAAGAAAATTGGGTGCAAGATCTTACCCACAGATCTTCCTAGGATAGGCCCCACAATGCACAACCAACTTGTACAAGAGGGTTCTTTGTGTGTGTGTCCATACAATTGGATTGAATAGTTAAGATGAAATTGGACTAAATCTTAAGACAAAACTGTAAATTGGTAAACTCAGTCTTCCCCAAGTTGACTTGGGGGAAGTTCTCCCCCTTTAGAGTTGAGAAAGATGAAAGTCTGGGCTTCATAACCTCAAAGTGCTACATGTAACAGTAATGACAATACCAATATTTACAATAGCTACTTTTCTGTGATGATTCAATCTGTGGCACTGTGTTAAGTGCTTTTCCCATTTACCTTCATTTATCTTTACAGATTTATGAGACAACAGTATTATACAGTAGATATTATTATCCCTGTGCTACAAATTAGTAAAGCTGGGGTTAGCTTTAGGTCTTGTGTCAAATTATGTGCTCTTAACCATAGAATAATGCCTGCTAAGATAAGGTAGCTTTGGATGCCCCTGACATTAGAGTTTAAATAATAGTTAGGCTTTTTGGTTTTATCTGTCCAAGAAATGTATGTGTAGAACTCAAAGCATTGAAAGAGCATGGCTGCTGTATCGGATATGAGCTGAGATTCTGTGAAATGGTCTTGGCTAGGGTGGAAAGATCACATGGAGAAGAACGAAAGCCCACTGAAGGTATTATGCTAGTGTTTCAAATTCACCTCCCTGGTGTACTGATCCTATTTCCTAATAGGAGCAGCCACTTTTTAGCACATCATTTTTATGAAAATTAGGTGTAGGATCTGATCTAGAGCTCTCCTCATGTGGCCCCAAAATACAAAAGCAAGTTGGAAAAGAGGGTTTGTGCTCCTTATGTGCATTCATAGAACTAAAACTTTAGGCAAAAGTGTAACCCTTTTAGAAAATGGGTTCTGGAGTAAAGGTGAATCAAGTAATCTGCGTGGGGTCTGCAGAGTCTCTTGAAAATGTAAATTGATGTCTTTCATCAGTTTTGGAAAGTTCTCACCTGTTATCTTTGTACCTTCTGTCACTCCAATTACACACTACGCTTTCTGAGAAGGTGCCACTTGTCCCTTACACTGTTTTCCACTCATTTTCTCTTAGCTTCAGTTGGGATACTTTTTATTGCCATATTACCCAGCTCACTAATCTCTTCTCCCACTGTGCCTAATCTGTGGTTAAATGCATTGATGAGTTCTTAATTTTGATTATTAAAATGTCTATTGATGTAATTTCCATTTGGCTGTGTTTTATTCATTGAATTCTCAAACTTTTAATCTATTTTCTCTTTTTTTAATCTTTATTTTCTTACTCATTTTCATACATTCAAGTTTAGATTTTTTTCTGCCACCTCTGACATCTAAATCACCAGAGAGTGTGGTTCCAGATATTTTCCATAATATACAATGTGTATATATTTACATATGGGGAGAAGTGGGTAGGTAATTTTTTTTTTTTTTCTTGTTACCCAGGCTGGAGTGCAATGGCGTGATCTCGGCTGACCGCAACCTCCACCTCCTGGGTTCAAGCAATTCTCCTGCCTCAGCCTCCCGAGTAGCTGGGACTACAGGTGTGCACCACCATGCCCAGCTAATTTTTTGTATTTTTAGTAGAGACGAAGTTTCACCATGTTGACCAGGATGGTCTCAATCTCTTGACCTCATGATCCACCCGCCTCGGCCTCCCAAAGCGCTGGGATTACAGGCGTGAGCCACCGCGCCCGGCCGGGTGTGTAAGTTTTTCTGTTTTGTTCAGGTTAGCCGGACTATTGGACATGAGTTATGAGTTATGGCTAGAATGCAGTTCTCCTCAGGTTGGATATACCTCAGCCTTGCCCCTGTTTAGAAAGTATTGCCCTTCAAGGCTTTCATCTGACCACTTTGCTGACTGGGATCGCATCCCCTACCAGGTCCTAAACTTTACTTTTTGTCTTCTCAGCATCATAAAAGATTTAAGGAAACTGTTCTGCTACTAGAGGTTTTCTGCTTAGAATTTTAGTTCCGTGCAATGAAAACATAAACAAAAAGTAGCAAGTACCATAGAAATGTTTCAGATAAACGATTGTGGAAGATCCGAAGTAATGGTGCAGTTCTAGCTGCAGTGACTGGGGAGCAGTCCACAAATTTGATAGTGTTCAGAATGGATTTTGACAAAAGGACAATATACTGCAATAAAAATATGATTTTACTGCTTTACCTTAGGAGAGAAAGTGCATACTGTTCTAAATTCATTTCCAATATAGCCCAAACTTTTTGAAGAGTATCTGCAACACTGATATTTTCCTTTGTGTCTAAAAATAATAATAAATAATAACAATGTTAGGCTGTAAGATGCCTGAAAGATCATCTTATCCAAAGCCTTCATTTTCACAAATGAAGTTGAAACTCACAAGTAAGATGGTATCCAAAGTCATAGGATTTATTAGTAGAAAAATCAGGTTTAAGATATGAGCTATAAACTCCTAGTCACCACATTATGCTTTTCCCCTTCATCTTTAATTTAAAATCTTAAAATATTGCTTGACCGAATTTAAGAGAGTCATCAAAAGGTTTACATGAGGAGATCTCTGTTACACTAAAACTTTTTTTATGACAGGTCATATCTCAGAAAAAGTGATCCATTCAATTTTTCTAAAGGACAATGGTCAATAGGATTTTTACTAGAGCTCAATCTACTGCATTATCTGCAAATGGTTTAAAAGTAGATAATTTGGCAAGAAAATGTGAAGCCTTATTAAGAACCTCAAATTTACCATATCAGAAACTAACATTCTTTCTCTAATTATCTTATCTTAATTTCTTCATAGTGTTTACCAGCATCTGAAATCGCTATCTTAATATATTTACTTGTCTATTATATGCTTACTCTCATTAGAATATAGGATTCATCGGAGCAGAAACCTTGGCTATGTTATTGACTGCTATAAGGCCAAAATATGTAACAGTGTTGTGTAATCAAGAAAGTTATTCAATAAATATATGTTGGGTGAAAAAATGCAAACACTATTTAAAAAAACATTTTGAACAGTTGTACACAAACTATTAAGTACATTACAAAACTGCCCATATTTTCACTCTCTAAAGAGGGAAGTAAAATCACTGTATGAAAATTTTTACAACATATATGAACAATAAAAGCATATTTTACCATATGCATAATTTGAATGTATTTCCGAAATTTTATGTGTTCGAAATTTAATTCCCAAACAGCATTGAGAGAGGTGGAACCTTTAAGAGTTGATTAGGTCATGAGGGCTATGCCCTTATGAATGAACGTGATTATTGCAAGAGTAGGTTAGTTATCTCAGAAGTGGCTTCCGAATACAAGGCTGAGTTTTGGCTCTCTATTCCTCCTTTAGCTCTCTCTCTCTTTCATGAGTGTGCTCTCTCACCCCGCCATCTTCTACATGGGATAAAGGCTCTGTCCAGATGCAAACCCCTTGATTTTATATTTTCCAGCCTTCAGAACTATAAGAAATAAATCTCTGTTCTTTATAAATAACCTAGTCTTTGGTATTCCATCATAGGAGCACAAAATAAGCCAAGATGTCCTATATTGAGTTTGATGAATGCATATGTTTTGTAATAGGAAAAAAACCCATTAAATTAGGCAACTAAGATATTTTACTATCATTAAACGGTATAATTTAGGATTTTTTAACCATTGTGTCTCTGAAGTTTTACTGCTTAAACGTTTTGACTATTATCATTAAATGTTTCAAATAGACTTTTTTTTTTTTTTTAAAGAAAAATGTTTCAATATATGTAAAGAATCTATTGGAGGTAAGGTTTCTCCTATCAAAATGTCAGCAAAAACCACAGAATGAAAATAATTGAATATAAGGCTTTTTTATTTTTTATTTTTTTTGAGATAAGATCTCACCCTGTCACCCAGGCTAGAGTGTAGTGGTGTGATCTCGGTTCACTGCAACTACCACCTCCTGCGCTCAAGCAATCCTCTCACCTCTGCCTTCCAAGTAGCTGGGACTACAGGCACATGCCACCATGCCTGGCTAATTTTTATATTTTTTTGTAGAGCTGTATTTTCTTCATGTTGCCCAGGCTGGTCTTTAACTCCAGAGCTCAAGTGACCTGCCCACCTCAGCCTCCCAAAGTGCTTGAATATAAGTTTTGCATCTATCATGTTTTATTTTAAGCTTATAAAACAGACCTTTTGGCAAAAATACTTTAGTTAATATACATAGATGTATCTGATTTAATAAATTTAAGAATACACTTAAAATGCATTTTATGCCTTATAGATGTATGTCACTAATGACATACATGGGGGCTTCTTTTATTATGCATTAATTTATTCATCCACTTAATTATTAATTCATTTGTTTGAAAACTGATCTAGAAATGTAAAACTATCTATGACTTAGCTGAAGCTGACTGAGGTAGCACAGCACTAGGCACTTGGGATATATACGAAAAAAAACCAATTCTCTATTTTAAAAGAACTTGCAATAGATTGGGAAAGCACAGCTGATCTTTTACTTATTCATTCATTTTTTTCATTCTTTCAGCAAGTATTTACTGTGTGCTTAGGATGTGCCAGGCACTGTGCCAATCCTGGGAACAAGACACTCAGTGTATTGACATGCTTCCTGATTTCAAATAATTTCATTATTTAGTGACTGAAATTAATTAGCTGATCCATAAAGTGACTCTAAAATATTTTCATTAACACACATAAATATTTATTCTTGTATGAACAAGTTTATTTTATAAATGTTTGAACAATCATACCTGGTATTCTGGCTTTCAAAAGTAATCTAACGTAAGTCCCTCTCCACATAGCTTGAATTTTAATTGCTGCTGCTACTTCCTCAGGAGAATATTCTTGATCACTTGTGGGCATACAGTATTTAATGTCCAGCCATTCCACTGGAAAGAGAAAAACCAACTTTGGACTGAAAGTTATATTTAATCCCTCCCCCAGGTTTCAATGCCTTTAGCTGCGAAAGCCCTTCAACATATAAAACTACATTGCAAGAGTTAGCATCATAGTTAATATTGCCAGGTCTAGGTGGTTCTTGTTAGAAAGTAAACATTCTGCAGGAGGGAAAGCACACAAACTAGGGACATCCTAGTGAACTACTATTGATTCCTGTGTGAATATAGCCAGAGGTTTCTCTCAAAAATAAAAGATGTGTTAAAATTGTAGGTACCTATGCAAGAATCCTGCATGTTCTGCACATGTACCCCAGAACCTAAAGTACAATTAAATTTATATATATATAATTGTGGGAGCAGAGCACAGGAGGAAGAGGAAAGTAGGGGTACTTGGGTCAGAAGATCTTACCAGAATTCTTCAAATCACACCATATAGATTAGAGACTTCCATATTTTTTTAAGGTTAGGAGTAAATAAACCAGGAAAATTCTGGGCTCCTCTTGAAGTATGTGTGGTGGAGATTAGGATTAGAGATCCCCAGCAGGTCCTTGGAGCCCTTTGAGCACCGCTTGAGCTCTATGACAGTCCACGCAGACCTATTCCACTTACTCCACAAACACCTTTCTTAAATTATTTACGTTACTTAAAACTAGGAATTCCTTGATTAAATACATAAAATTAATCAGTACCTAAAGAAACCTCTTCCAAGGAGGAGTCAAGTAAATCCAAGTCCAAAACCATAGCCCGGAATGCAAATTTGAAGTTCGGAGGAGGTTTTGTTATTTGAACTTTTTTCATCAAACGCCATAAGGAAAGATGAAAAACCTGAAACAGATAAAGTACATTAATGTTTTTTATACCAAGAAAATAACATGGTATATTTATAACAAGAAAATAACTGCCCAGAAAAGCTCTGAAAAGCTTTTAGATGCTCTAAAAATAAAAATAAAAACCATTTCTCAGATATACACACCATCTACCAGAAGATTCTTTGAAGTCTCAATCACCCAGTGAGAGACCAAAATTATCATTTGATTATTCCTAATTTAATACAATGTTATCACTACAACAATGTTTATGATATAGACTCAATTAAAATACAGCACTAAACTAATAGAGGAGGGATAGAATAAGGTAAAAAAACATGATCCTTGTGCTTAAGCAAGTTAAGTAGCTTATTTTATTGATTTTAAGATGCCATCCATTGTAAGACACACTATTATTTCATGTGCTACATAAAATGAAAATATGTTCCTTAGAGTTTTCTTAATCATTTAGAAGTACTAACTTCATATTAAAAAAAACTCTTAGATTTAGACAATGCTTTTTCATCATATGTCACATAGTTGTGTTATTATCAAAGTACAAAATGGATATTTTTTTCTTACCAAAATATCTCCCTTTTGCATAAGTGATTCATTCACCAAGACCCCTTACATATTAAATCAGGGCCAGCTAAGGTGGGCTCATGCAGAGTAATCTTGGTAGCACAAATGGCGAACCACCCACATGGGCTCTCTTTCATCCAGGCTCAGTCATCTAACCTATCAGCAGCAGAAACTGACTCTGGTCCTTTGACATGGTAATGTCTCCTGCGAAATCCATCTAACAGTGGGGAAAAGAGCTGGTGGAAAAGCACCACCATCTCACCAACCTTGAGTGGCAACTTTTAAAGGGATGTCCCACACAGTTTCTCAGGACCTCTGCACAGCTGATTCCCAGTAAACCACAGCAGCAATTATTGTGTCCTTTAGGCCATTTCTTTCTCTTTCTCATTTCATTCTTTTTATTACTCCCTCATTTCTGCTTTCTGAAATCACTTCCCTAATATATTGTCTCCATCCAAAATATTTTCTCTGGCTCTGATTTGGGAGGTCACCTAGTGGCAGATACACCATTTCAAAAAGAAAGTTTCCTCTTCCAAATATCGTATCCCAAACAAGCTTACCCTGAAGTGCTGTGCAGTTAGCTCTTTATCATGGAAGGGGACAGGGTAGTGAGCTGTTTGCAGATCCTTCAAAGCTGCAGAGAGTTTACTCTTATCTTTGAAATTAGCAATCACATTTCCAATCGCTTTCATAATCAACAGAGACTGCTCTGTAAATCGGCAGCTTTCCTGTGAAGACAAAACGTGGCAGCCATCCTCACTCATGCTTGAGTGTCATTTAGTTTATAAAAATTAATTTGTTATAATATCAAACCTCTGCTATATGGCTGATTTAATAATTCTATATAGAAGGCTTGATATCAAGGCAGTTTAAATGCTGCAGTCTCAGAGATAAAAAACAAGGAATGCAATTCCCATCTGAATGGGAACGTGTAGGAGGAATATCCACCTCATATTGGGGATCAGGGAAAATTTTCCCACCATATTAATATCGAGACCTAGTTCTGAGGATGTTTGGGATTAGTCTGACAAAAAACTGTGGAGTTTGAGGACTGACGAGCAGAGAAGATTTCAAGGAGAAAGCCATAAAGATAAAAAAGACCAGAAGGTGACCTAGCATGGGGTGGAGGCTCTCCCCTGCTATCAACTCTAAGGAAATAATAAAGCAAGAAAAAGACAGGAATTTCAGGAAGTAACTAATTTTTAAAAATCAGAGAAAACAGTGAAGTGTTTGGAGCTGCTGTGATTGGTATACAGTGGGTGGTCCTAGAGTTGCCTGGAGTAGCTGGTGTGGTGCCTGGCAGCAGCATGAAAAAGGTAAAATTGTAAAAAAAAAAAAAAATACCCTTTTTCCCCTTAGAGGGCACCATGGTACAATCATCCATCAGTCCTGATTTTCTCCTGAAATTTTGGGGAATGGCCCAACAAGTGTGTGTGAAGCACAGATGCCTTGTGAGGGTGAGAAACTGATGGAAACAGGTGCGACTGACTCGCTCCCGGAACACACTTACTTAGAATCCTCACAAAGCCTAGGGAAAGCTTCGTCTTGTGGTGTTTCTCCCTAAGGTGAAACCGTGAAAAGAAACATTCTCTGGTCGAGTGGACATATTAGAAGGAATCAATTATGGTTCTAAGTATCGTCTCTCTGCCCTTGGGTCAGTCTATTCTCTTTGGCTCCTTTACTAGGACCAAAGAACAATGGGGTGTGGGCTTGAGCTCCAACAATCTTTTCAACATTGGGAAGTGATATTTCTAGGGAAATGTGAGCTCACAGACCAAAATAAATAATCACCTGGGGAAATAAATTATCTAAAGGAAGACACCAAACTGGACAATGTATGCCATATAAAGCAGAATTATTTTTTTTTAAAGACAAGAATTTGAAATAAGATAAACATAGTTATGGAAATAAGCAACATCCATGTATAAAGTGAACTTGCTGATCTGTGTGATCTTGCTGAGCCTAATGAGCAAGAGAGAAAGAGAACTGGTGAGAGATGATGGCACAGCAAACAGAGGAGGCAGCCCTGGGAACTCTTGCACAGACACTGCTCAGGCAAGGAAGAACACATGAGTGTGGCATATGTGGGAACCATTGGCTTGCCATGAAATTTGCTGGCTGTCTTAGAGAACCCCATCAATAAAAGGTTGTGCTATTTGGAATGGTTGTTTCTTTGCATTTTGGTGGGAAAGGGTTAGAGCTGAGGAAGCATCAGGAATTATGCAGTGGGAAGGCCGTCTGCAAATATTCTCCCAAATGCCCGTGCACAAAGGACATCTAAAACCAAGAGATTTCAGGGGGCATACTGGTTCCATTGACCTCATCTCTTTTTCAGACGTTGTCAGAACAGGGGAACAAGTGAAACCAAGGAGAAGAGACCAAGAAGAGCGAGAGGAGATGAAGGAGAAGAGACAGAACCTTCTGAGCTACTCCTTCCCTGCTAAACCCCAGAGACACACGCTCCAAATTCCTTAGGCAAAGGAAAAGATGAAAGCAAAGAAAGAGATAAAAGTTTTAAACAGCATAGAAAAGGACTGCACTGATCCTTTGTACCCCAAAGAACCAATGATGTCACAGAATCCAATATTAACAGATATGAAAAGAGAGTCAATAGAGTAGAGGTGAGAGCAGCTGGAGAATGTCTACATATTTCATTTGTCTACCTACAGGGTTCAGACTTCATTCTAGACTTTGGGGTTGCATGTAGGAATTTCCTGCAGAGTATACTTAATAGTTTTAAAGGTTAAAAAAATGAGTAAATTGAATATAAAATAAAATAGTGTTTAGTTCAAAATATTTGAAAATAAAGCACATAAAAATTGCCGTTGCAAAAATACTTACTGGTTCAAAGTTGGGCAACACAACATGTTCATCCCCAATGACAAGCGGCACCATGCTGCAGATGTGTATGGAGTGTCCTACTGGGGAGTACGCGTTGAACAGTAGCATGTGTCTCCTAAAGAGAAGGGATTCTGGGTGAGAACTGAGTGCTCCCTGGGTGGTAGCATTTGACCCACTAGTTGCTTGTTAACATTTGGAAACTCAAACTAAGTCAGAGGTTAGTGAAGAGTTCAATTTTTAACACATGAAATAAGGATCTTTGAATTTGAACTCTATAAGAACCCTATGGGATCATGAAATCTATATTTTATTAATTATGTAGAACAAAAATCATTAGACTGAATGCCAAACTTCTCTCCAGTATGTGCTGGAGTGATCTCCCACACACTGCAGTCACGTTGTGAAAACTAGTCTTGATTTCTCCCTAATAACAAGAAAAATGTATGTGGGTATAGGGCTGTGTAGACTTCATAGGCTTTTTGTCACAAATGCGTCATTTCACATTATGTTCATTGTGTCTCTCTTCCAGGTTATAGTATCACGAGAGCAGGGATATTCCTTTTCATCCAGTTATTGAGCATTTAGAGCAGCGGTCCTCAACCTTTTTGGCACCGAGGACCAGTTTCACAGAAGACAAATTTTACACGGACTGGGTTTGGGGATGGTTTTGGGATGAGACTGTTCCACTTCAGATCATCAGGCATTAGATTCTTATATGGAGCATGCAACCTAGATCCCTTGTATGTGCAGCTCATGATAGGATTCTTGTTCCTATGAGAATCTAATGCTTCTGCTGATCTGACAGGAGGCAGAGCTCAGGCATGGCTCACCTCCTGCTGTGTGGCCTGGTTCCTGACAGGCCTCCGACCAGTACCAGTCCTTGGCCCTGGGGTTTGGGACCCCAGATTTAAAGCATGTTCAAACATACATGCTGATGGTTTAGGTCCTGTGGGTGGAAAAGCGGGTATATGAAGATTCTTTATTAAATTCCCTATCTTTGGTTGTCTCAGTGAATGAGCCCTCAGACAGAGTAACTTGATTTCCGGGAGAATCTCTCCATGCTGGAGTATATATGGGAGATGGGAGAAATGTCAAAGTTTCGAAATGTTTTATTTTCTAGAAATATTAGATGCTTGACACAATTATTTTAGTATTTGTTGCTTAGGCTTTGCTTTTGCATGAGCCATAACTTTTCATTGATCATATAAAATTAGTATGATTGATCTCAGGGGAAAAAAGTAAAAGGTAGTGAAAATGTTTATTTCAAAGCCTAGTGAATATATTTATTTCATCTGAAATTTGAGATAATATTTTGAATTTTAATCATCAAAATCAAAAAACTTTTCCATTATATGTATTTTCTTTAAAATGGAAGCTAATGTGTTCAATCGACTTTATCTGAAATAAAAATAATATCTAACAAAAATAAGCCACAAGAAAATCTAGATTGGTAGGGGAAAATGCATGTTTCTCAATTTTTGTTTACATAAAATCAAGGTTTTTGCTAAGTATCATAATATTGATGAGAAAACGTAACAAATATGAGAAAATTTATACTACTTAAAATATTATAAATGTTATGTATATAATATTTATAAACTAATTTTAGAAAATGCTGGGTTAAACAGCCTTAAACAATATTGTCGACTAAATAGATTCCCAGAATCTTTGACAATTATAAATCTCCCAAAGGAGTATCCAGTGTACAGCATTTCTCAATGTATTTTTTTGGAAATATTTTTCTCAAGAACAGTACTGATAGACCTGCGCCTTGAGAAATTGCTTTAAGAAATAGTATCTTAGAGTCCACATTGTTTACTTCTTTAGTAATCAACAGTTTGCAGGCCTTCAAACCATTTTTAATATGGAAAAAATGAAGTCACTTCATACCCAACAGGCAGACGAACCATTGTAGCCTTGGTAGCATATGTGTGAATCTTCAGAACGAGATTGAGGGGTTTCAGGGATTTCCAAGAAAACGTTTCAGCTGTGAGAAGTCCAGGCTCTATGGGAGGGCTGTCTTTTGTTAAGGCTTTAAGATAAGTAAAAAGGTATTAAAATTTGATTGTGAAAGTGTAGTTGGCATTCACTAATACTTTTTTTTAATTAAATAACAACCTAAATAATAATCAAGTATTAGAAATATTATTAAAATTTTCATAAAACATTGGAAATTACTCCAGGTAAATTACTAGAAATAGCACTCATGCCTTCCTCCTTATTCAATGCTCTTCCTCATAACAATCCTCTCAAGGGAAGAAACCAGAAAGAGGAAAATTAGAATCAAGAGGACATTTTTTATTGTAGTATAGCATTGCTTTTATTATCTCCATGGTAGTAACCACAATATCCTTGCAGTTGCAATTTTAGAGGAAGAAAATGTATTACATCTAGGAAAATAAAATTCCTCTAAAATAGTGTCAAAATAAGTCCAAATATCCCAATGTTTATTAAAAATTTATTTATTTTTTTAAGATGGACTCTCGCTATCACCCAAGCCAGAATGCAGTGGCGGGATCTTGGTTCACGGCAACCTCTGCCTCGTTGGTTCAAGCAATTCTCCGGCCTCAATCGCTGGAGTAGCTAGGATTATAGGTGCCTGCCACCACCCCTGGCTAATTTTTGTATTTTTAGTAGAAACAGAATTTTGCCACGTTGCCCAGGCTGATCTCGAACTCCTGACCTCAGGTGATCTGCCCACCTTGGCCTCCCAAAATGCTAGGATTACAGGAGTGAGCCAACATGCCCAGCCTGTTTATCAAAAATTTTACCTTTGATTCACAGTCTTTGACATTATGTAGAAATAGCAAGCAATTAACAAAGTTTAATTTTAATATCAAGTCTTTCTTTAAAAATGGATACATAATATGGGCTAATTCTTCATCAATGACTGAGGACAAAAAACTTTCCCCTGTACTTCCAGAAAACACTGGCGTTGAGGACATAAGTTCACAACATTACCTGAAATGCCTTCATGCCTATGGAATTTAAATGTTCTAGGACAATGTTCAGGGTTTGGTAGAAGCACTAAACTTAGATCACTAAATTCTGGAAAGTTTATTATACAACAAGTATTTTCTAGCCACCTGCTCTACGTTAGACACCATTCAAAACATGGATGATACTTCAGTTTAAAAAAAAAATCCCTGCCCTGCATGTTGGTAAAACATTCAGTTGTAAGTATTTGGGAATACTTACTGTAAATTTACAGTTTCATGTACTGTTAATTTAAGCGCAAGAAAAATTCTTTAACAAAACAGGCCAAAGAATAAAAGAATAAAATTTTGTGAATGTGTGCCTGTGTGTGCATGTGTATGCAAGGGTTTGGCCTTGCAGAGGAGCAGAGAGAGTCTATCCATTGGAACAGAAGGAAGGTGGCCTAGATCTTCAGAGAGTTCATTGTGGGAAAGGAAGGTAGAAATTCTGAAGGCAGAAATAATTTCTGATTGGCAGAAATTCTGAAGGCAGAAATCAGCTGAACATGAGTGAGAGTAAGACTAGGCATTGAGGATTGGAAGAGAGAGAGCATGTTTGAGGGTTTGCAATAGTCATCTATAGGAATAAATAAGAGTGGAAGAATAAATGAACTAGAGAAATGCTGGCAGTGCTTAAGGGCTTGTTGAGATTTGTGCTCCTCAAATTTAAGCATGTTTGTTTTCCTTCCCTCCAATCACATTCAGCTGCTCTCTTGAAACTACAGGTTGGATATAGCATCAGGTTTAAACAATAGTGGTGTTTTTCCAGGAAAGCAAAATGAGAGGGTAAAAAGGGCAAATGTGTGGAGGGCACATCCAAGGATATATTTAATCACAGTGAGCGACCATAGAACGTATTTTGGGAATGGGAGGTAAAAGGACATGAGGAGGGTGATGGACACATAAAAAAGTGGGAGGATAGAGAAGAATGAAAAGATCCAGTGGTGTCCAAACTTGTAGGCATGGGAATTCTAGAGAGTGAACTGGAGAGGGGGGTGCTTGAAATTGAGATGCCTGAGATGATGCACAAATTGGTAAACGTAAGGTCTATAGAACAACCATGGAAGTGGTGGACCAAGGTGGGACAGAGGGAAAGATGGTCGGAATTGTCAAATCAAAGAAAAATAGTTTGTTTTTCAATAGAAGTTGAAATAATTGAGAATGATGACATTTCTAGGTCAACAACTACAACAACAACAGATTGACTAAACAAGGCAGACAGATTACTACAACCAGAAGAGGTGCAGGTGGCAGGAGTGAGCATAATCCCTGGTGTCTGTGGAATAAGAGCATAAGAGTGGGTAATATAGGTGGTCCTGTGGGACTCTGGAGAAACTATGGAAAGGGAAGGAGTTCTTTCATCCATGGTCTTCTAAAGATCTTATTTTAATTGTTTTTTTGAGATGGAGTTTCGCTTTTGTTGCCCGGGCTGGAGTGCAATGGTGTAATCTCAGCTCACTGCAACCTCTGCCTCTGGGTTCAAGTGATTCTCTTGTCTCAGCCTCCCTAGAAGCTGGGATTACAGGTGCCTGCCACCATACCTGGCTAATTTTTGTGTTTTTAGTAGAGACCAGGTGTCACCATGTTGGCAAGGCTGGCCTAGAACTTCTGACCTCAGGTGATCAACCTGCCTCAGCCTCCCAAAGTGCTAGGATTACAGTTCTGAGCGACTACACCCGACCTCTAAGAATCTTATTATTGCAAGTTCCCCAACCTGAACATGATCTGGGCTTTAAGACTATCATTTCCTCAGAGCCCTCTTACCTCCATACTCCCCCCAGCGTACCAATGCAGAAAAGCAAACCAGTAGTTCAATAGGTTTTAGACTATCCACAAATAGATAGTAGGACACTCGTTCTTCTGAGAACTGCAAGAAAATTGACCAATTATCATACTTAATATCAGTTGATCAATGCTATTATTTTCACTTCTAGTGAAAACTCCCATAGAATGGACTATAGTATAACATTTAAGATTTACAGGAAACTTACTGTCTTGTAGGCACCACAATAAATACTTGATGAATCTAATTAAATGAAGAAAATTATACTGGGTGAATGTTGGCAACCATCTATAAAAACTGGGTCTGCAGAAACCGTATCAGACTAGCTACCATATCAGAGAGAGGCAGAGCTCTCTATAAGCAAAGAAAAGGGATATGCTTGTTCCAACAATGAAAAAGAGAGGAGACTGAGCCCAGGGCAGAACAGTACTCAAGCATGGGTCTTCGATGGACAGGAAGGCCACAAAGTAAGTAATTTTGGCAGAGAACGGGAATGGCCAATTGGATGTATTAAGTTATTTTACAGGGTGGTAGGTGAAATAACCTCTCTCTTCCTTCTTTCCACGGGATCTTCAGATATATACCTGAGGTGGTTTAGCTCTGTGTTTCCATTCAAATCTCACGTCGAATTGTAATCCCCGCATGTTGAAGGAGGGGCCTGGTGGGAGGTAACTGAATCATGAGGGCAGACTTGTCCTTGCTTTTCTAGTGATAGAGTTCTCAGGAGACCTGGTTGTTTGAAAGTGTGTGGCACTTCCCCCTTTGCTCTCTCTCTTTCTCTCTCCTGTTCTGTCACGGTAAGACGTGCTTGCTTCGCCATCACCTTCTGCCATGACTGTCAATATCTTGAGGCCTCCCAGCCATGCTTCCTGTACAGCCTGCAGAACTGTGAGGCAATTAAACCTCTTTTCTACATAAATTACCCAGTCTCAGGTAGTTCTTTATAGCAGTGTGAGAATGGACTAACTTAATACCCATTGCTTGCTGATACAGCAGGTTGTGGGTCTTTGTTTTGGAGATGGAATAAAGCGTTCAGTAAAATCAAATTTCCTTAAAGGATAGTTACATAAACCTTATATGTATATAATTTCAGTTCATCCTATATGAGTACTATTAATGTATCTAATTATACATGAAGAAACTGAAACACAGAGAGGGTAAGCTATTTGCCAAAGGTCACAGAGTTTGTAGCAGCAAAGATGGAAGGAAAAAGTAGGTACAGCCATCAGCCTGGCTCTAAGGCTGGTACTCTTGACTAATGCATTATTATTACCTATCAAGTTCTCAGTGTTTCAACAGAATTGTGACAGATGGCACATGGTAAATGTGCTCAATTAATTGGACTATACTATACTTCAAAAGTTTTTCATATTATTTGACCACAATAAAAAAAGTTAATATATGAAAGGAAAATATGTAGTAATGCTATGAAAAAGAAAGCCTTGTTATTTAATCAAGTATAACAAAGATTGCTAGAAATGTTTGATGCAATGTAATCATGACATAAATGATTACTCCTCCCCCTATTTTCCATTTGTTATCATTTGACACTTTGTTTCCTATTAGCTGTGACATGTTGATGATGTAGAGAATTGTTTCAAATATTCATTATCTGAAAATGTGAAGGACCTTTGGACTTGTGAGCTTGGCATGAATGCCTGAGGAGGAGTTTCTGCAGGGAACTCATTTGCTCTCATTGTCAAGGGTCTGAGAATTGAGGGGTGGGGTGTTCCTGAAGGCCTCACAGGGGCTTATGCCCTGGTGCCAGCATAGGGCACCTTTGAAATGTCCCTGCTCCAACTTCACACTGGGCACCAAGGGAACATCTGTGGATTGTGCTGAGGACGGGCCTGGGGCTCTGTGCCCCAGCTCAGCAGGCCACTAAAATCAGGAGTGTCTGGTCTCAGAACACAGCAGATCCTTAGTTTCCAGCCATACTAAATGTTATTAAGATTATATTCCAGTGCCTTCAAGAATGTTATTTTCTCACACCGTTAATGTTAAAAAAATTCAGGGAAATAAATGTCATAATTTTATTTCATCAAGCTGAGACTTTTAAGAGAAAAAAAAATTCTGTGCTTATCATCACTTTGTAAGAATAAGATCAGAATAAAGAACAATTGACCAATTTATCACATACACTTTTACAGTACGATAGTTATGTTTACCAAAAGCTTTTATGCAACATCTTTAGTAAATGGCAGCCAACATTTATTACCACTTACTAATAGGCATTCTTCTAAGTGTTTTATATACATTATTTCACATTTGATCTGCTCCATCTTCCTTAGATGTAAAATGATGATAATCATATCTCTTTCACAGGGTTTGCAATGAGGCGTGAGTGAATGCAGTAAAGAACCTAGTCTAGGGCCTGTAATGTTTATAAACCATTGTCATCATTGGCAATGGTTAAAATATGGAAATATCCCTAAGTAAACAGTAAACTGTACATTAGGCTGATAGCATACTCTGGGTTCAGCTATTCCCAATTAATTGTGTTATCCTTATAAAGTCAAAGAATTCCTCTAGGTGTTTTCACATACTCCAGAACTAGGTGAAGGATTTCTTTCCCCCAGTCACTATTCTTATTTTCAGAGTAGGCAGCCAGAAACAGAGCAGCTCTTGAGGTCTATTTGAAAGGTTTCCTCTGGCTGTTTTCATCTGTTACAAGGGCAGTGGAAAAGTTTCAAGGATTTTTTACTTCCCCCACCTCTGTGTACTGCTCATGAAGGTGTGAGATTATCATTAGGGGCTTGAGTGGCCTTGTCCTAAGATAGGAAAACATGCAAATGTTAGCACAGTTCAGTTTCCCAAAATACATGTCATAGCTTTTCTTAAAATTCTGCTCAATATGTGATTTGTTAATTACCTTAATTGACAATTTTTAAATTGAGTTCCTACCTCACCCCAGGAATGTTCTTATAAGTGGTAAACAAAAGGATACAGCCCTTCTAATGATGCCAACAGTAAGTAGGGGGAAGGCCAGGCACAGAGAAGCAATCAGAAAGTTGGGAGGGTGGGAGGCAAATGCTGGGCAAACAGAGAGCATGAAGCCAAGCCGCTTAACTCAGACTCCATGGCCTGGGAAGGGAGGCCTCACAGTGTCAAGGGCATTTATGATGTTCTGAATGATTTCTAGGCATCGGCTGAACAACAGCAATGAGGATAAAGAGGATGAAAGGGAAGAAACTCCAGGGAGAGGGATGAGACGGGAGAAAAAATCCAGACATAATGGTGGACTGTCCTTATGTTTTAGGAACCACACACTCTTCAGTAAATACTAATTGAAAACAAATCTAGTGAATTTATTTGTGCATCTATCATTTTTTTTCTTAATCTGGATTTGTATAATAATTCAGGTCAGGACTTAACATAGTCAGATGGATCACACTTGTGATTATGAACTAGTGGAATTTTGCTTATTGCTTGGATAAGGATTAGTGGGAGACTCTAAAAATTAATTTTTAAAAATATAATTATGTTACAAGTTTAGAAATATTTCAGAAATTTGAAGATGCTTCTACTGGTGTGATTCTACCAAAAATTTAAAGAGAATGGAAGAGATTCTAATATATTTACCTTAAATTCTGATTTTTGAAAGTTAAGGCAATATGAACTTGGCTTGTGGAAAATATATATATTTCTGAAAAAAAGACATTTATAACAGGTTATTGTCATTATATGCAAAGACTAGTACTACATGTTCATTTTCTTATAATCAAATAATTGTAGGAAGAAAGTTAAAAACATAATAACAATATTGGGTCAGTCATGCCAAAGGGAATAGAATAATTCTAGTGAATAAAATTTCTTCATTTTAATTAAGAAACAAGCCTTTGAGGAGAAGCAGAAACTGGCCTAAGATTGGTTTGGCTATTACTGTAGTATATGGATAATCAATATACTTATTTTCCCTTTTAAAACTTTTATTTGATATTATACCAACACTAGGCTGTTATTGGCTTATTTTGAATGATGCTAAAAATTAATAGGTTATATAACCACTATACTAAATACACAAAATAAATGCTAATATGAATTTGTGTACTAATGCAGCTCAGGGTTTAACTATGACATAGTCAGATTGATCCCATTGGGATACTTACTGAAAGCATATACAGAAATCTTCAAAATCTAACCATATTTCTTTAGAAACACGATTATTTGTTGTAAGTTCTTCCTGTGACTTTTCCTGTGTTGCTGTAGTCTGGCTGACTACATCTCTTTCCAAGTTTAACCCATCACTCTGATGGGTATCACCCAATCCAAAGTCCATTTGTTCATCTGTGCCTAGAAGACACACATTTCAGCACACTTGTTATTGTTAAATAACAAGTTATTGAAGTACGTAATATGATAAAGGGGAGCTTAAATATCAAAGTCTATTTTTGGGAAAATATTTACTGAGATAAATACATTTATGGAGATCCACACAAAGCCACATTTCATACACATAGGAGAATATAATCATAATTTCTATGCATATTAGTGTCCAGAAATTTTTAAATTACTTTGATAAATTTGTTCACAGATTCTTTAGAGATTGTGAAGTTACAACAGAAATTAGCTAGATTCTTTACTTAAAATCTTCTATAGATGGACATAATCTTATAGGAGGGGATGGCTCAGACAACAGAAAAAGAAATAAAAACTTGAAAGATCTGGTAGGATAAACGTGTTTCAGTAAGACATTTAATTTCTCCCCACAGTCAGTGATTCTATAGCCTTAATTTATATTTACCAAGTAATGTGGGATGCCATTCATATAGACTTCTAGATCCAAAATTATATATGTAATGTTGAATTCGAGTCTTGGCCAAGTATTTTATTTAGAAACTAAGGAATCTGCAATGGTTTCAGCGTTTTGATTACAGGGTGCAGCATTAAAATACATGAACTTTATTCATGGGTCCTTAATCAGTACCTATTTTATTTTTACCTTTACCTTCAATTTAACAACTGAAATTTATATCTCCTTTTTTAAAGCGCAAAGCAGACTAGACTCGGCAAATCAAAGAAAGGCTGCTGAGAGCCAGAAGGGAGGTTGTTAGGAAGCAGAGATGCCCCTCTGTATCTTGATGTCCATTGAAAAAAAAGTCACAGGAAGATTATTGATTTACCTTTTCCAAGTATAACTTGCGAAGCAGTATTTCCCTATGAATTAAAAGAAAAACATTTTAAAACCATTTTGAATTCAACAAAACATTGCAACTATCCAAAGCACCAAAGTTACTAAAAGAGCTAATATAGTTTTTTTAAACATTGAAGAAATAGGTTTTTAAGAGAACTTACTAAAACATACTAACAAAAAATTTGTTTTTGACCTTAAATATCAAAGGACATGAATGGAATTAAATAATTGACTGAGATTGAAGATCCAAAATGGCAGAATAGGAACAGCTCTGGAGTGTGGTTTCAGCAAGAACAACACAGAGTGATCACTGCATTTCCAGACAAGGTTTCACTTGTTTGGAAATGAAGGCCCACAGACCAGGAGATTCCCAGGACAAAAAGTGCCATGAGTTTCCAGCACAGCGGTTTTAGCTGTGCTGTGGGTTGGTACACAGAAACTCACACAAATCTGGGCAGTCATTTCGACTGGCACCTGGAATGCTTGGGAGACAGAGCCACCCATTCAACTGAAAGGGAGGAGGCTGAGACGGAGCCAGGTGATCTGGCTCGGCGGGTAGCACCCCCACAAAACAAGCAATCTGAAATGCTCTAGATTGAGACTTTTGCAGCAAGTGCAGCTGAACCTGGGATGGTCCAGCTCAGTGTGGGGAAGGGCATCCACCACTACCAAGGCAGTTCTAACTACCTCTGTAAACAATACCTCAAGGAAGTGCACACAGCAGCTAGGCAGAGCCTGCAGCAGCTCAGCAATGCCTCTGCTGGAAGACCATGACAAGACTAACCCCATGCTGGGGAAGGCATCTATGAAAAAAGGCAGCAGCACATCAGGAACTTATAAATAAAGCCTGACCTTCCCAGGACAGAGTACCTGGGAAAAGAGGCGATTATGAGTTCCACTGCAGCAGATTTAAATGTACCTGCCCAGCAGCTTTGCACAGAACAATGGAGCTCCCAGCACAGCACTTGAGCTCCTATAAGGAACAGACTGTCTCCTCAAGCAGCTCCCAGACCCCCATACAGCCAAACAGTCACCTCATAAAGGAGAGGACAGGCCAACATCTGGCAGGTACCCTTCTGGGAAGAAGATAACAAGAAGAAACTGGCAGTAACCCCTACTGTTCCGCAGCCCCTGTGGGTGATTCCCCAGGCAAGCAGGGTCTGGAGTGGACCTCCAGCTGTCCCACAGCAGAGGGGCTTGACTAATAGAAGGAAAATTAAGAAACAGAAAGAAAGAGCTTCAATATCAACAAAAAGGAAGTACACTCAGAAACTCCATCTGAAAGTCACCAACCAAAAAGACTACAGGTAGATAAAGCCATGAAGATGGGAATAAACCAGTGTAAAAAGGATGAAAACACCAAAAACCGGAACACCTCTCATCCTCCAAGGCATCACAACTTCTCACTAGCTAGGGAACAAAGCTGGATGGAGAATGAATCTGATGAATTGACAGAAACAGGCTTCAGAAGGTGGGTAATAAACTTTTTTGAGCTAAAAGAATATGTGCTAACCCAATGCAAAGAAACTAAGAACCTTGAAAAAAGGTTAGATGAAATGCTAACTGGAATAAACAGCTTAGAGAAGAATATAAACAACTTGATGGAGCTGAAAACCACAGCACAAGAACATCATGAAGCACACACAAGTTTCAATAACCAAATTGACCAAGCAGAAGAAAGATTATCAGAGATTGAAGATCAACTCAATGAAATAAAACGAGAAGGCAAGATTAGAGAAAAAAGAGTGAAAAGAAAAGAACAAAGCCTCAGAGAAATATGGAATTATGTGAAAAGACCTAATCTATGTTTGATAGGTGTACCTGGATGTGTGGAGAGAATGAGTCCAAGCTGGAACACACTCTTCAGGATATTATCCAGGAGAACTTCCCCAACCTAGCAAGGCAGGCCAATATTCATGCCCAGGCAATACAGAGAACACCACAAAGATATTCCTCAGGAAGAGCAACCCCAAGGCACATAATCATCAGATTCACCAGGGTTGAAATGAAGGAAAAAATGTTAAGGGCAGCCAGAGAGAAAGGTTGGGTTATCCACAAAGGGAAGCCCATCAGACTCACAGCAGATCTCTCGGCAGAAACCCTACAAGTTAGAAGAGAATGAGGCCAATATTCAACATCCTTAAAGAAAAGAACATTTAACCTAGAATTTCATATCCAGCCAAACTAAGCTTCATAAGCAAAGGAGAAATAAAATCCTTTACAGACAAAAAATTGCTGAGAGATTTCATCACCACCAGTCCGGCCTTACATGAGCTCTTGAAAGAAGCACTAAATGTAGAAAGAAACAACCAGTACCAGCCACTCCAAAAATGTACCGTATAGTAAAGACCATTAATACAATGAAGAAAATACATCAACTAATGGGCAAAACATCCAGCTAGCATCAAAATGGCAGGATCTAATTCACACATAACAATATAAACCCTAAATGTAAATTGGGGCATTTAGCCCCAGTCAAAAGACACAGACTGGCAAATTGGATAAAAAGTCAAGCCCATCAGTGTACTGTATTTAGGAAACCCATCTCTCGAGCAAGAACACACTTAGGGTAAAAATAAAGGTATGGAGGAAGATTTATCAAGCAAATAGAGAGGAAAAAAAAGCAGGAATTGCAATCCTAGTCTCTGATAAAATGGACTTTAAACCAACAAAGATCAAAAGAGACAAAGAAGAGCATTACATAATGGTAAAAGGATCAATGCAAGAAGAAGAGCTCCAAATACAGGAGCACCCAGATACATAAAGCAAGTTCTTAATGATCTACAAAGAGACTTAGACTCCCATACAATAATAGTGAGAGACTTTAAAACTCCACTGTCAATGTTAGACAGATCAATGAGACAGATATGTAACAAGGATATCCAGGACTTGAACTCAGATCTGGACCAAGTGGATCTGATAGACATCTACAGAAATCTCTACCCCAAATCCACAGAATACACATTCTTTTCAGCACCACATTGCACCTACTCTAAAACTCACCACATAATTGGAAGTAAATCACTCCTTAGCAAATGCAAAAGAACAGGAATCATAACAAACAGTTTCTCAGACCGCAGGGCAATCAAGTTAGAACTTGGGATTAAGAAACTAACTCAGAACCACACAACTTCATGGAAACTGTACAACTGGCTCCTGAATGACAACTGGATAAACAATGAAATAACGACAGAAATAAATATGTTCTTTGAAACCAATGAGAACGAATACACAATGTACCAGAATCTCTGGGACCCATTTAAAGCAGTGTCTAGAGGGAAATTTATAGCAATAAAAGCCCACATGAGAAACGAGAAAAGATATAAAATTGACACCCTATTATCAAAATAGAAAGAGCTAGAGGAGCAAGATAAAAAAAAAACTCCAAAGCTAGCAGAAAACAAGAAATAACTAAGATCAGAGCAGAACTGAAGGAGATAGAGACACAGAAAACCCTTCAAAAAATCAATAAATCCAAGAGCTGATTTTTTTAAAAAGATCAACAAAATAGACAGACTGCAGCCCAGTTAATAAAAAAGAGAAGGGAGAAGAATCAAATCAATGCAGCTAAAAACGATAAAGGGGATATCACTACCGATTCCACAGAAATACAAACTAGCATCAGAGACTACTACAAACAGCTCTATGCATGTAAATCAGTAAACCAGGAAGAAATGGATAAATTCCTGGACACTTGCACCCTCTCAAGCCTAAATAAGGAAGAAGTTGAAACCTTAAACAGACCAATAACAAGGGCTGAAGTTGAGGCAGCGATGAATAGCCTACCAACCAAAAAAAGCCCCAGTCCAAATGGGTTCACAGCCAAATTCTAACAGAGGTACAAAGAAGAGCTGGTACCATTCCTTCTGAAACTATTTCAAACAATCCAAAAAGAGGGAATCCTTTCCAAATCATTTTATGAGACCAACATCATCCTGATACCAAAACCTGGCAGAGACTCAACAAAAAAAGAAAACTTCAGGCCAATATCCATGATGAACTTAGATGCAAAAATTTTCAATAAAATACTGGCAAATCAATTGCAACAGCACATCAAAAAGCTTATCCAACATGATCAAGTAGGTTTCATCCCGGGGATGCAAGACTGGTTCAACATAAACAAGTCTATAAACATAATCCACCATATAAAAAGAACCAAAGACAAAAACCACATGATTATCTCAATAGATGCAGAGATGGCCTTCAACAAAATTCAACAGCCCTTTTTGCTAAAAACTCTGAATAAACTAGCTATTGACAGAACGTTGCTCAAAATAATAAAAGCTATTTATGACAAACCCACAGCTAATATCATACTGAATGGGCAAAAACTGAAAGCACTCCCTTTGAAATTTGGCACTAGACAAGGATGCCCTCTATCACCACTCCTATTCAATATAGTATTGGAAGTGCTAGCCAGAGCAATTAGGCAAGAAAAAAAAAAAGAAGGGTATACAATTAGGAAAAGAGGAAGTCAAATTGTCTCTATTTGCAGATGACATGATTGTATATTTAGAAGACCCTACCATCTCAGCCCAAAATCTCCTTAAATTGATAAGCAACTTCAGCAAAGTCTCAGGATACAAAATCAATGTGCAAAAATCACAAGCATTCCTATACACCAATAACAGACTAACAGAGAGCCAAATCATGAGTGAACTCCCATTCACAATTGCTAAAAGAGAATAAAATACCGAGGAATACAACTAACAAGGGATTTAAAGGACCTCTTCAAGGAGAACTACGAACCAGTGCTAAAGGAAGTAAGAGAGGATACAAACAAATGGAGAAACATTCCAAGCTCATCATTAGGAAGAATCAATATCATGAAAATGGCCATACAGCCCTAAGTAATTTATAGATTAAAGGCCATCTCCATCAAGCTACCAATTACCTTCTTCATGGAACTGGAAAAATCCGCTTTAAACTTCATGTGGAACCAAAAGAGAACCCACATAGCCAAGACAATCCTAAGCAAAAGAACAAAGTCAGAGGCATCATGCTACCTGACTTCAAACAATAC